CACACACAGACACACACACACACACACACACACACACACACACAGACAGACAGAGATTTCTTGCTTTATAGATAGATAGATAGATGTAGAAAACTAAGGATTCTTTTTATTTAGATAATTAAGTGCTGCTGTGGAACCAAACATATTCTAAGCAATACCTAAGAGCATATGCCTTTCATGAATATCCATCTCTGTCCTGATTGATGTTAAGAAGTAATGATTAATGCAGGCTCTGCTCGCAGTGGTTTAACATGCATTTGAAGTTTGTATAAAAACTATTTCACCTTGTCTGTGAACATTTTGTCAGAGTTACTATTTATTTCACAGCAGACAAAATAGGCAAGAAGGGAATCAAATTGGTTTTTGTGAAAGGAGTTGTACTGGCTATTGTGTTCATCCACTCTGCTGACCATATGGGCATGGATGAACTCGGAGCCACGCTTTTTGAGAAAATACAGTGGGTTTTCTTCTTTTTTTCTTAAGTAATTATGTGTCCAATGCTGTTTAACAATTTCTCTTAAAACCATGTAATTCATCCTGAGTCAATACAAAGCACTTTGTTATGGCATGAAAGTTGCCGGCAGGGAAAATGAGCAGAGAACTGTGGGGCAGGAGTGAAAATGAAAACACAGAACTGCTGGAGGACTGCAGATAAGAACAGAGAAGGTCAATGCTGAAACCTGAACAAAAGTTCTGATCAGAAAAACTTTGTTATCCTGGCAGCGGGGGCCTCTGGTAACTGGCAATTTTTTTGCAATCATGAGACTTTTCTTTTGCATAATCATCAGTTCCCTGCGAGTACTGCGGGGTCATGCAGTTTGGCCATTCCAAAGAAAAGCCTCAAATCCACAGAGAAAATGACGAGGGTATTTCATAAAGCGCTGCAGCTGGAGCACAATAAATGGTCTCGTCAAGGTACTTTTTAAAACTCTTTTATCCTTATGAACACATCCTACGCATATATCAGGAATTAAATCAGAAAACATTGTCATCCTCACAACTCCTCGTTAAAATCCAGGGCATTGTTTGTGCTGTAATCGTGATCCCGTAATGAGAGCAATGGGGACGGACAGTGGAGTCACACTGTTATTTTGTGAAAGATGTTGTTGATTCATAGTTTATGATAGCACTGTTGCCTAGCAGAGGAAATGTTCAAAGATGTCAGAGCATAAAAGGTGACCCTTGACAGAACGCTTTCATTATGGCTTCCGGAAGAACACATCACCCTTTTCCCCACTGAATCACACCAAACCTCCTTCATTTTTCTGCTGATTTTATTTGTTTCCTTCCACATCATCATCGTGTTATGCTATTATTCTGCCTCTTAAAATAACATTTACACTTTTGGGGATTTAGTTGAGGTCCAACGTGATTTATAATGAGGTTAATAGTAGAGTATGATTTGATTATATGATCATCAAAAATTATAAGGATTGCAAAGGTCAGCGAGCGCTTCAAAATGACTGTGTTGATCATTTATGAGTCTAAGAAGAACACAGAACAGATTAATTTATTTTATTATAAATAAGTTGATTGAGGAGAAAATGTTCAGTGCGAGAAGGACAACACATCATCAGTCCTCATGTAGGATTTAAAGCTTATTCTACTATTGATAAATCTTAAAACCTTAACAGTAACTTGTATTTAGAGCTTGGGAATTAGGCTTTTTGCAAATTATGCAAATTAATATAGAATATCAGTATAAAGTTGATATAATAAACATTAAATAAGGTTTTACCTTTTAATGCTTTGGTTGATTTGCAGCATTAACAGCAGTGTTTAATCTTTTTCTGAGCATGGAAATTCATTTTTGACCTTGGAAACACTAGTGACAAAATAACTTTGAAGGGGAGCTCCACCAATTTTTCACATTACAGTGTTTTACACGTGTTGAATAGTACGAGATCACAAAATCACAACATCACGTGAGAATCCACGTTGACAGGCTTAGTCAGAGCTTGTGTTTATCCACAGACCAATCGGAGTCCTTTGAGTAACCATTGGCAGCAACATCATGAGCTATGAATGTGGTTTAAGTGACGGTGTGTGTGTGTGTGTGTGTGTGTGTGTGAAGTGAGCAATCCCTTGGTCCCAACCACTGCGATTTGGACACAAGTGCATAGATTGAAGTCTGACGAGATGGATTCTCGCGAGTCTTGCTTCACTCTCCCCTTCCAATCACGGAAGGAGAAACTACGATTTCAACAAAACGTGTGAAAAAACATGAAAGTCCCCATCTACAGACAGTGTTTGGTTTGTCTGTTCTGGGCTACTGCTGGTTCAACATGGTGGACTCTATGGAAGCCGAACTGTGACATGGTGATAAATACAGCTCATTCTAAGGTAACAAAAACACAGTGATTCTTATTTTCAGGTTATTATACACTAATGAATACAAACCTATGAATATTATATTTCATTACTGACAATAGATCCTCCTAAATGTTACACACTGCACTTTTAAATGAAAAAAAGAAATTGCCTTAAAATATGCATCATGCACTGCAGGATATAATTGATCCGTCTGTCCCTAAATGTTTCAAAAATGTTTCAAAAATGTTTCAAAAATGTTTCATTTAACCTCACTTTGTTTTCAGTCCAAGAACAAACTGGTGTTGGTCAGCTCATATTTGGACAGCTCTGTGAATGACTGGACATTTAGAAAGCATTTACATTCTGCTGGCTTACAGATCTCTATTCTCCCCCACGTCTGCTCTGTTCCCATCAAAGCTGCTGTCAACAAGCAGCATCTGGCTACCTTCCCAGATCAGGACAGAGGGACTGAAGATTGCAGACGGACGTGTCAGCACTGAACTAGCCTCTATCAGATAGAAAAACGTTTTTTTTCTTACAACGTAATGAAATCTCTTATCGGTTTAGATTTACCGAAATTAATTCCCACTAAAGCCCCGCTGAGCTATAACTTGATGTCTCTTTTATTGGATCAAATTCATGAATATATTTTTTGGGACAAACATCCTCAGGACGTGTGGCATCTTTGCCAGGAGAAAGCTTCAATCTGAGCCTTCAATATTCAAGGCGTTCCACATTCAAAAATCTGTCTGAGGCTGTGAAAATTTAAGACTTTAAAACTGCTGCCTGGATCCCCAAAGAGGATCAAATTAGTCATTTCATGACAATCTAAAGAAATAAAGGAAGGGTTCTGACAAGCTGAACTTTCTGTATTTGGACAAAACTTTATCCACTTGTGTTGAGGGCAACTTCTGGGCTCAGTGGCTAACATTTAAAGGCATACTAAGTGGGATTTTTTCTACAAGGATGTGGTGGTGTCTGTATATGCAATGACCCTGCAGTGCTCTGCCTGTCTTTTTTGTTGTGCTAGGACATTTCTGGGCGCGGGTGTGTTTGGGAATCCCAAAAACGCAGCACCCAAGTTACATTGGTGTCTCCACATATCTCTCTCATCTGCTTCCTGTCTGTTTCATGGATGCACAACAAGCTGCTGGTCTGTGTGTCAGTTTCTGTTTGACTGAGGGAAGAGGGTCGTAGTCGTGGCTGCATTCAACCAAAATCCACAAATATGGCTCCTTCCTGCAGGGTTGTGTGGAGAGTTGTCCAGTAGAAATCTAACTGGGGAAATTAGATTTCTCTAATCCCTTATACCTGATTACCAACAGCAGTTAAAATCTATTTTTTTCAAAATCAATCAAAAGTGTCTGCTAATTCAACTAGTTCACATAGGTCACATATAGTATCTGAATTACTTGAACTAAATACAGTATGTAACCTACTGCATTTGTTCTGGGTCAAGTCCATGCAGGCTAACTCAAACTGGTAACATAAATAACACAAACACAGTGTAACCGTGATGAGTCTTGAGCCGTTTCCTGTACCTGATTCCTGAGCATGTGCTGAGAGCCACCCAGGACTCGGGATGTCCTCTTACATGGCCGTGGTAGAAGCAGTGATCCTGAAAGAAAAAAAAAAGGATTGCAATCAATACTTCATATTTCATCTGGTGGAAAGCTCTAAAGAACTGTGATAATGTTTATGCAGACATGCCTCCGATGCAGCCAACAATGAATCAATCTGATGGATCGACTCGGTTAGAGCAAGTGTCCCTAAAGCGGGCCACATGCTCCCGTTTCAGGACTACAGCTGCTGGTAAAAACACCACCTACTCAATTTGAACAATGAGTCTGACAAATCAATAATATATAGGCAAAGCTGCTAACAGTGATGGTGTTCATATGAAGGTTGGAGCTTGGCCACTCAAAAATCCTGGATTTGAAATGAACTTACCAGACTTCCAACAAAAGAAGCATATTGTGAACAACTTTAATAACGAGAAGACAGGTTGCTCGGGAGGTTCATAGAAACGTGTGTGAATTTAAAGCTGATTTTATAAACACAAAAAGATGCAAAGCATACAGTACAATATACAATCATTTGTAGTCTTTGTGTAACGATTTACTTACCCATCCCAAACCATTCGGTACAGAACTTTTGGTTTGTAACTAACTTTTTTTGGTTCTCTACACCAACCACTGTTGAATACACTCTGATTAAATGTCTGCATGTGCATCAACATAAAATCTTAAGTGTTCCACCTGTAAAGCTTTAGTAGAGGAGCAGCTGTTGTCTGTTAGCTAAACCTTCTTAGTTGAGTTAGTCTCTAAATCAGGGGTGTCAGACTGAAGTCAGGAGTCACTGAAGGGGCCATCTTAAAAATGTTTGATCAATTTACAGGCCAGGTAAGCAGGGGCATGTGTACAGAAATAACCTCTGTGGAATCCCCTCACATTAGTATCTAAAGTTACACATCATGTTGCTCTCTCTTGAGCCTTTTCCACCAATGGGGAACGGGCTCTGTTCCGGTTCAAGCACCTACTTTAAAACAATTTGGAGCATTTCAACCAAAAATAAATTGGTTCAGAACCTGAAAAGTTGGTTCCCAGCTGGAACCAAAAAATAGTAGTTTAGGTGTGTCATTATCTACAGGTCGTTGACGATGCATCCAATTACAATGGTTCCACTCAAAACAGCTAGAAACCCAGGCTGGTTGGACACATTCTCTAGATGCTCTACATGTAGAACTCATAATGACTGAACATTATGGAAAACAAAGACCATCTCATGTGATTTAGAACGATTGTTTGGCGGTGTTCCTGCAAACACGAACACACATACGACTGTTAAACCATTTACAACACAATCAACAAAGACACCCTATTACAGGGCTTAAGTTCAACTATTATGTTTATTCACAAGCACATTTGAGTCAGTCATCCAGCAATTATCTACTACCCTGTATAAACAAGCGCAATCTGGAGTTCACGGAATTTGTTAACACCCAATGTCTGCATAGAATTTGGGTGTCAAACGCCAGATGTTTCAGCTTCCCAAGCCCTCAGGGTCAGCCACTGCAAATACATTCTTAGCACATCCCAGACCTAAACTCTTTAACCTGGTGGATGGTGGGAAAAAAGCTTATCAAACCATGTCCAATAGAGAATGATCCATTCCTCTGTTTAACAAGCAGCAGTCTTCAAGAAATTATTAATGAGCTGTATCTACGTTTAAAGATTATATATGAGATTTAAAACATTAATATAGTATATGTAAAGATATAGTGGAGTTGTGAGAAATAAAGATTTCTACTACAGAGTCATGGCAATTCTGAGCAGAGAATGACGTCCTGTGCTTGTATTGCTATCCCAGCCTCTCTGTGGTTTCCGCTTGCACAGTTGCACACACTCTGCTCAGTGCGTGCAACTGACTTTTATTTTGTTTCTGTCCACTTTGAATGAAGTTACAATGTTGATGATATATGAGGTAAAAATAAAAAATAATTCTATGGAGTCTGGTGGCAATATTATGTCTGTTACTGGTTAAACTAAAAGGTCTGTCTCTCCAGGGATCCTACCCATAATGCTGTCAGACACTTAGAATAACAATCTGAACCTGTCATTGGCAGACAAGCACTGTTAGTAGACTAGTAGACGTTCTTCGATGGTCGCATTTGTCCCCATGGATTTAGATTAGCTTGCGTTGTGGCTATTGCGGTTGTTTCCATGGATATTTACACAAAAAACTTGCTGAATTAACCATACCAGTGTTGGTGATAGTTGGAAAGACTGTGGAAAGACTAACAACAGATGGTATTCTGATGAGTTTTATTACCTGGTTCTGGCCAGTTTGAAGTGTAGACATTTCGGTTTTGTCATGGAGTTCTGGTTGGGTCCATGGTGCCCATTTGTTTTAGTCTGAGATACTGGTGTTCTAATTTCACATTTAGTGACAAATTCATTTAGAATATATAACCTTTAACTGAACACAAACTGCATTGATCCAGGAATTGTCCACTGACCTATATAAAGAAATACAAGTTGTGGTTTTCCAGGAATTATCTATTGCTTTACTATGCAAAATTTGTGTACAGGACTGCTGGCAGCTTCTGATATTTGTGTATATGTTATTTTCTTACTGACCATGTAGACAGGGTTTTTTTTCAAATAAAGTTGCTATATTTGAGTATATTGACACAATTGCCCTAATACTCGTACTCTTAAACAGTGTACGGGATACTCTTGCTCAACCCTAGTATGTAACGTTTTGGGTACCATTACACACTTTTAATGACCTGTTAACACAAGGGCAGCAGTAAACGTGGAACCTTAGAATTCAGTTCACTTTCCTGGGAGAAATAAAGGCTGAGGAAAAAAAGTTTTTAATACCCTTAAGTTAAAACCAGAAAAGCTGCCAGACCACCCGAGTCATTCTTCTCACTATACTTGTACAAAAGGTTAAAAAAATAAAAGGAAAAAAAGACATACGAAATGAACAATTTCAACCTTTAAAGTGCAAAGGTATTACACCTTTGATGATTTTTAAAAGCAACAATGTCTATGGGCCTAAGGACCAACAGTTAATGTTGAAAGACATTTATCACCACAAGGTTCAAATTGTGCCTGCATGTCGATTTTGGACTATTCAAAAGTGTCTGTCAGCTCATCAGAGAGTGAAATGAGCCCTTTCATTTGAAGCAGCAGCGGCGGTGAGTGCCCCGTTCGAGCCAACATACAAATCAATTGTCAGTGAGAACTCTCCCTGCCAACCCTCTGCAATTAGTCCGGTTGCATGTAGAGGATGTGATGTGGATGACATCCAAAAGACTGGCCCACCTTGTTTGAACTGTATAGGGAATAACCTGCCATCTGTGGGGGTAAAAAAAACACTGTCACATACAGACACTGGATCTTATCTGCAGGTCACGCTGTGTGACCCAAGTTGGTACATCAAACATGTTTGCAGGTTAGTTTGACTCTTGAGGGTTTACCGTTTTGGTTCAGCTTATTTGAACAGGTTGTAACACACATTAGGCCTTTCTCTATCTGTTTCTGTCTTTACTTGTGTTTTTGTAAAACTTAATCATTGATGGCTGTGTGCAAAATGCTATATGCTTAATATGACAATCTTCATCAATCAGTCCCAGGGGGGATCATTGATTTTTTTTTTTGGGGGGGG